GACAGTCTGCATAATATACTAGACAATTGATAGCCTAATATGGCCTATGGATTAGTTTCCTTCGATTGTTCGAGTAAAATATTATTCGTGAAAGAAATATCGTTGGAGAAATTAAAGTGCTAAACAGATTATTTAGTTACTAGATCTATCGATGGAAATTTGACATTGCCTGAATGTTGCATATTTTGCACTTCGGTACTGTTAATTCCTTTGTAGACAGACCAAAATGCTGCATTTGCTTTGGGTCAACTCTTGGACGAATGCTGGCCTCAAGTAAAGAAATCCTCTTTATTACATGTTTACTGAGCAAATCTTATGCCCACTCAAACAAGGGATAAGCAGGTTTCATTTCTCCAGAAGAATTCAAGTGGATTTCTCATTCATCTTTCTTCATTAGTGCATCCCCCTGTCTGTCGCTATGATAAAACAATCCAGGTGGGCTTGAATACTCCGATACAGTTAAATCCACTTTGGGCCTGAAAACCTTCGACTACAGTGTCAAAAATGCTTATCACCATTGTGATTCCTGCTATTTCGTTCTTCATAATTTATTCTCCATTTTCCATATCCAGCCCTAAATTATATCGCCCTCAGTTTGAGCATCGGGAGAATATAGTGTACGGCTACTTAGTATCTTGCATACTTCCTACCTACTGTCCAGAACCTGCTACGAATCTCGCATAAGCCCCCATGGGTTGCATTCTTTTCATGCTTTACATATCGCTTTAACTTCTTCCAGCCTAAAACGTGCTAGCTTGAGAGGGAACTATGCATATCCGCTTAGGAAATGATTCGTCCATCCCTTTTAATAATGGAAAATAACAGAAAATTTATCTCAGCTGGCTAAGTGAAGATCAAATTTTATGTATAAACCACATTTAAAGTCTATTTATTCGCTTAGATATAACCAACAGTCTTCTGGACCTTGTGAAGGCAGTAAAGAATCTTCCAACAGATGGCAATAAAAGGAAAACAAGCGACACTTTATATGCTATATGGCAAAAGCTATGGCAAACCTCTAAATAATTACTAAGGCAAGTGCTCCATTTACTTCCAAAACCAACTTGATGGGCCCCAGAGATTTTCGTAGATTAAAAAATTTCATCAAACGGTATACAAAGGAAATTTTGCTTCACGAGAACCCCTAGCTGTATGCAGAAAGGAAGGGCGATTACACTACAGTTCTTATTAGTTTTCGGTAGGATTGCAAAAAGTGAGCAACAAAATCTTACTGTAGTCATCCCAAAAAATAGTTTGCTAGAGATGACAATTTACGTGTCCACTCTATCTTGATGGCAAAAAGATTAAAATGCAGAAAATTAGGATGAAATTGGCCAATTACTTAATAAAAATAGCTCCAGCTGAAAGCCCCAAATTAGCGAAATTTCCACTATACAACTGAGACCTAAGCTTACAGGATTATTCTAGTCATAATTACGTAGTAATTGATATATCGAGAAGCGTAAAGAGTAACACCTAAGTAGATGGGTAAAGTAGAGCTGTATTATAATGCGATACTGTAAGGAAAGGATAGCAATGACTTAAGTCCTATGAGGCTTCAGCTTGCGAAATATAACTATAAGAATATAATGACAAATTTTGTATGCTGTCGGATACAACCCTCACAAATTTGAGTTAATGTTGGGCCCTTTTATAGTGAGTAGCTTTGCTTAAGAAGAAGATGAAACTACTTTCCTGGAACAGAAATGGAACCAAATTAAATGAAATTCATTTGCTCATCTACACAGGCAAAATTTAGCAATAGTGTTGTAAAAGGGAAGTTGTCAAATCCAACCTCTACTATAATAGTATGTTGAGAAAAACCTTAGCATAAGTGTTAGTAAAGATGCGCTAAATTTTTATTAAAGGTTACCTACAGAGATCATTATTTAGTAAATCATGAAGTTTTTGATGCAGGCGTTGCATCTCTATCGATACCCTGCCGATACGCCCCCAGCTTTAAGGGCTTCCAAAGTTAAATCTGCCTCATTGCCACTGAACATGTCAATAGAGTCGAATAGTCATGCTACTATTACATAAACTTGGCTCAGCTATAGGTAAAATTGATATTTGTGATGAGACAATGAACATAAATTAAGTCTAGGCTGGCTGAAAAAGCCTCTGAAAAATGTTTAGTTGAAAAATTGAAACAATACCACGATTTCGTCTTAGGAGAAAGTAAATATTAGACTGTTATAAAAGCATAAATCCACACTGGCCATAGCTTCAAATAAAAATTAGCACCTGTTCCATACAGATAGTGAGTTATCCAAAATAGACCATCCTATAAGACTGCAAACTTTTCTATATTGCTAATAACGAATTGTTTTAGGTCAAGGGTCTTATAATACTCAACTTAAAATGAGGGTAATCAAGAAAGTTTTAAGACACTCACTATCGCAACAAATCAAAAATGCTTTTAAACTCAAAGATCAAAACAAATAGACAAATACGGGATAATTAGCCCAGCAAGTGTTAGCAAATTTCATCAGCTGAAAAACAAATACAGTTTTAAAGACCAGCTCTCATCACAAATTTTTATGGTAATGCATCATTTAAAAGTTTAGAAGTCTTAATCCGATTTGTGACCATCGAGAGAGGAAAATCAGCGAAAGTGGATGCTTAATAAGGTAAGTAATGTCGATTTAAAGCAAGATCATGTCCGCAAAGAAATAAGGGGAAATGCAAAGCGAAGCCTCTACGGTATAAATGCGGCGTTCTCATTTGTAGAAACCTGATCAGATGATGGGTCAGGGCTTGTTTATACGTTGTTTTCAATAAATTTTTTAAAGTTTTATAGTCAATATGTTTGTATGTCTGTCAACAATGGTAAAATGGTTAATAATATAGCAATAAACTGATAAGTTCAGCACACGCTACACCGAGCAGGCTGACAAAGTCTATTTTAGCGAGTTTCAAATACTGTCGCAAGTTATCAGAATTCACCTGGCCTACAGTGAGGATAAAAAACTGACTAGTTTGTCACTACTTATTCAGACTAATTTAATATGATAAGATTTGCGCTAAAGAACTTTCCATCCAAACAAAAAAGGTGAAAATTAATTTACCCTGGGTTACAGAAAGGTAGCAGTACTTGGGGTTAACAAAGATTACAATGGCGCAGCAGAGAAATCACGGTCAAAAGTCCAAGAACCTTAACAATATCGTGACCGACCTCTAAATCATCAGATAAAAATATTCTAGCTCTGCTAAAAAAATGTTATATCTCAAATGTATGGATTAATAATGGATTTGATGCATATCGTGAAGCAATTCTACCAGAGTGGATGCCAACTCAGCAGTAAAGGAAGTGTAGACCGGTTTTGTAATGAAACGAATTTAATTTTGGCAGATCATACATCCATTACTGAGGAAAACATAATTAGTGGTAAATGATGTGTGAATCACCCAATGTTTGTCAAAATATGATGCTGAGAAGAAAGTTCATCCAAAAATCCTCTCAATTATGAATTAACTTCTCATGTAAAAGGTAAAAATAGGTTTAAGAAGGAAACATATAGTATACTTCCACCTCTATATTTCATAGAGAAAGTGATAAAATTGGAGGCGAGAGACAATTATCAAAGCTTAAAAAAAAGTTAATTGACCTAATTGTAAGAATGACAAAATTCTTCCTTCATTAGAAGAAACCTAAAGCTAAAAGTGCGCATTACGAATATGGCGCACTGAAATCACAATTTTTCCACTGAGGGTATTCAAAACATTAGAAAATACAGAAAAATTCTCCGCTGTTTGTACATGAGTTTGATCAAAGGTGAGAACTAAATCAAGTGTCAGGTTGACATAAGCTGGCCAAGCCTGGTTACGAATATTGATTAAGCCTAATCGCTTGATTACCGTATATAAGAGAGCACAGGCAGATTATAAACAGGAAGATAGCTAATAAGACCAGATATTTTACATAAAATTGTCAAGACATTTCCATTCAAAAATTTATTAAAGCTGCTTCTTTAGGGCACTTCTTCAAGATGCATGATCAACGGACAGAGCGCACCAGTGGGACAAATTTGCATCTATAGCAAGTTATTCTTCGAATATATGTGGCCTCTTATATGGTCGCAGTCTCCTTTCGATTTATAGAAGTGGGTTGACCTCGTTGTCGCAACATGGTCTTGTGAGGGAGACTATGTAGAACGCACCTAGTACGAAGTCGTCTGCTATAGTAGATGTCATGATTTCAAGCATCTGATGTTTAAAAATGTATCAAGTCCACTGTCAGATGCTGGGAATCATGACAATTACAATGGCAGACGACTTCGAACTAGGTCCGTTCTACATAGTCACCCTCACAACAAGACCAAGTTGCGACAACGAGGTCAGCCCACTTTTTAAGTTACTCTACGTTTCAACAAATAGACGCCTCATTACTTTAACTCAGCGCGGAACAAGAAGTCCTTAAGTAGCTTGCAGAGATATCGATTCGTCATGCTAAAATTGTTTGCCGAGAGTAAAAGTCTCTATCACTTCCGTCGAATAAATTAATTTTAATTGACCAATTACTTGGAGTCGGTGTTCTCCTATCACAATTGGATTTCAATCTGGTAAATTCAATGCAACTTGTATTCAATTTGTTATGGCCAATTTCAACGAGGCTTTCCAAGCCCTTTACCAAGGCTACTCTCAGAGTCAAAGCCATATGACAGTTACTAAGAGATGCCTTACAATATATGGCATTGACTTGAATACTCAATTCATGATGAGAACAGAACCTCTGATAAAATCTTCAATGCTTTGGAGTTTATTTGTTTGCTCTTACATGAGAGGAACATGAAAATTATAAAGATAACCCATTATAAACTGGAATTGAAATGCAAATCTGGAAGATATTTATACCAGAACAATACCTATAGCCGCACAAGAGACGATGGAGAACGTTTTAAAGCACCTGTTTGGCAATTAGTTTTGACTACTTCCTATAATTTTAATTCAAAGTCCTATAAGGGACATATTAAATCTCTAAGAATACAGACAGTATTGATTCACAGCTTTCAAAAAATAAAATTAAATATAAAATTAAAAAATCATATTGATTCGAATATCTATTAGATCAAGTAGCAAACTTAAAAATATTTGCGAAATTTGAACTTAAGCGTGCTAGAGATTAGATTATAACTCGTCATACCCTCTTATTTTTAAACTTATATTTGCAGAAAATTGGTCTAACGACATTAGAAACATAGCTAGTACTCACTCTGAACGGCATGCCTCGAACACCGACACCATTCAATGCAACACCGATCGTATGTGTGCCCACACAGGATGGCGTATATTGGCAGGAAAGTAGATCCATAGACACAGACTGACCGGACAGCAGTCGAGTTCTGGACTGATTTGCTGTTGCTTTCACGGTCACGGGAACAGAATCGCCAAATGGATCATGACAGGTGACCTAGGGATATAAAATGTGAAAAATTACACCAGCTTTTCAGGTAGTAAGAACCCGTTAGAATAAGACTAAATGAGGGCGATGAAATTATAGCCTAAAACGAGTAAACTTTGATATGAGTGAGGAATATGTGCTGTATACGAAGGAATAAAAATATTTATAAAGTTAATAGATGAATTCGGAAAAGTTAGTAATTATCTAACCGAAGAATTCTAATGAATACTCATTTCAAGTTACCTAAATTTAAAAAACATACGTTTCGCGTTCTAAATAATTGATTAGCTTGTGAACAAGTTATCAAACCTCTTGCAGAGAAATTATTTTGACATTAATTTTATATAAAACCAAAGAAAGACAAAGATGCAAAGTTACTTAAAACTTTGAAGCCGAAAACTGAAAATATTAAGGCAAAAATGTCTTCCTTAAGTGGCCTCCTATAAGAATACCTGAACTAGCCGCTCCACTTGATCGAGATCCAGCTTGGTGATACCCAGTTCGGCAAGATCGCTAGGACTGACACCAGCAAAGGCCTCTGAGAGGTCGATAAAAAAATTGGCAGGTTCGTTAAGCATAAGGCCTGATGAGGAAGACGTGCTGTGCAAGGCTGCACCAGAGCCCGGAGACCGAGTGGATGGGTCCTCAACCCCAGCGCCATAGACTTTTACCTAGAGGAAAAACAATTGAAGTTTGATAGAAGTAGCAAATAGATATAACTAAAAGTGCTATTTTACAAACAAAAGGATTGAGAATTAACACAAAAGGCTTTTAAGTTAAATGGCATTCATAACAATGACAAATGCCTTCATCAAAGTTTTACCTATTCTCAATGCATCTAGCGTCAATAATGTATCTTACCAATAGGGATACAATTCAAAAGTAATTGAAGAAGGCATACTATCTTGATGTTAATTGAATTTCTTGAAAGTAGGTAATCCTATCGGCCTAACTCTTTGTAAGATCCCTGTTTTCTTATTTTGATTCCAACCATCATTTATTAGGCTTCACTACATTAAATAATCAAGCATTAATCCAGTTTTATTTTCAGGCGTATCTAAATGACATCCTAATTGACTCTGAAGTGGCAGGCAGAAAGATTGAAAAAAATATATTTGCAAGATTTGCCTTATTTAAAATTGTGGCTTATCAACAAAATTCATTGAATTAGTTGGGAAACTTTTGTAGCCTAAATTTAACAGTAATATTTTCGCATATAATTTTATCCGAATATAGGATTTGTATTTCATAAGGAAATGGCAGTTGCCGTATGTCAATTTGGTGATTCAGTGACAACTGAGAATAATGTCAAATGTGCCAATACACTTTCATATAGGGTGGACTACGTGTTTGATCTTGCCCAGATATATCTAACGGCCCAATCTTGGTGAGAAAGGTATCTTCGGAAGCAAGAATAAGTTGAAGTCAACGTAATAGGGAGACCTTCGTACTTCACCATAAACAATTCACAAAGCACGACTTGGATCACTAGACTAACTCAAACGGGCTATCTATCTAATAAAGATTTGAGAGTATCGGACGCTCTTTACAATGTGATTAGTCCTTTCAGCTTATTAGACTACCTCAAGGGTTTCAGTGTCATAGGTTACCCTCGTTAGCAGCTTAAAAACCCTATTTGTTTTAAGGTTATGAAGGACCAGTAGTTTAATTTTCCCAAAATGATATAAATAGACCTTACTTTAGCCTTTAAATTCACAGGCTTGCTTCCCATATGGTATTCCTAACCAGACACAGGTGGAGTGCCGTTTTGATCTATCCAGAATTGGTCTCATCAACACCTAAGCGGAACTTTAACCGTGAAAGTTCAGTGTAAATATAACGCCACACTGCCATGAGTGCCCTTTTGGGTTACATTGCAGATGTCTATAAAACCAATTTATAAACGAAAAATAAGAGATAAATAGGCTCATACAGAGTCGAAACTACTGTCTCCTTTGGATACGGAAGCTATTTAGGTGAGACCATTTGCCCTTAATCACTTCGTGCGACCTAGGCTCACAACAGTTCTTATATGAATATGCAACGTTTTCTAACTGCTATAATTGGAAATATCTCATTTTCGCATATTGTTCGTGTTGTCAGGGCGTCCAAACTGGATGCGCCATGTCCGAAGTCGGCTGCCATAATTTCCAGAATAGAACCGTGAACATGGTGCTTTATTACCATTAAATGATCGTCGTGGCATAACTGCGCGACATGAAAAAGAAATTCGATCGCAGTAATAATTAATTGAGGCAAGCCCTTGCTCACGCCTACAGGAAATAATAACCTTTTTTCATTTATAAGCATGTCTTCGTGATTACCAGTAGATCTTGTATAAAAGCGAGACAATCCACTGCACTGTCATGGTTATAATCTCACTAGGGATGCTGATAAGACCTAGGTAAGGTCGAAAATGCAGACCATCCTGGATGACAAATCTGTCTACTCATAAGCTTCTAGAAAAATGCAACTACTAGTCCTTCATCACCTTTAACGAAATAGGGTAAACTATCTCATATATCTGATATACTAGTAGTCTAGTAATTCTAATTACAAACGAAAAGTTATGGCACTCAATAACTGGTTGGAACATGAGTTACCATATGAGTTTTCTTGACAGACAATCAATGCAATCCAAGAAAACAATCGCCTATAAGACAAAAAAGGTCCTTTGATAATTGTTAAAGAACGAGAACAGAATAACAATATTTTTTATGTAGACAATAGGATTAGCCAGTGGTAGCACTTGTGAGACAGGTTATATATTCGAAGATAAATAGAATATTTGGCTAAAGTGGCTCATTTTGGTGGCCTCTTATAAAAAAAGGTGCTAAATCTAACGAAAATTAGACTTGGAATACTATTTATCTTTGCGAGATCCTAGAGCAGCTAAGAAGATATCTAGTATAACTTGTACACGAAATAACAACTATGCTTCTCACAAATGGATGAATTTATCATATACGTATAAATACACGCGAACACAAAAAATATAAATTCACGAGCCATCATATCAATAAATTACTTTTATTAGTTAACTTGAATAAAATTATTTTAACCTATTTAAATGCCCTCTTATAAAATTTGTTATATAAAAAAATGAAACCGGCTTCTATTATTACTGTAACATGTACAACTGTATATGAATGAATAAAAGCTGGCTGTTCATAAGAAGTTGCATTTCTCAGCTTATTAAGAATTTTTTACTAACAAAGGATAACATAAGAATGAAAGTCTAATTCGACTAAATCTGCAAATTACCGCCTTTTGGTGATATCAATCGGCGGACCTGTTAGGCTGGTATGAATTTTAGCTGAAATAACGTTACCGTAAACGGCCCTTGTCGAATAAGACAGGATCATAATTTTTATTAGACTTGCCTTAGAAGGATCGATGCCATGAGGGCTGGCAACAATGTTTGCCATGTAGGGCGAGTTTGGTATGTCCTCGTCCTCACAGATCACATGCACTGCGTACTCGCCGGCTGCCGAGGTCCAATAAGTTACTCGAGCAGAACCATCACAATTGTCACTGCATTCGATTTGAGCCTCACTTGGACCCTCGATAGAGAAGCCTACATGATAACGTTATCATAGGATAGTGCGTTTGTAAGTAAAGATGAGGGAATATAATCAAAAAAATAAGTGATTCAATCAATAATTAGATGTCTGTGAGCAGGAGGAAGATAAGTATCACCTTATGAACGCGAATTTAGATAGAAAACGCATTATCCAAAAAGAGTTTTACCTCGAATGATCTGAAGATTAAGAAGGAGATCTTTAACTCACCCAAAATCTCAGTTATATAAAATTCAGGTGCAAATTAAATGTATTCTTTAATTGCTAATAAAATGGAAAGTAAAAGATTTAAGGCTTCAACTGACTCTGTATACTAAAACGCCCATTCACGTTTTGAGCCTAAAGAGTTCGTTTAAAATGAAAAGCCTTTAAATATTGTGAATAATTTTATATTTGCATTATGGCACGCAGAGCTGGAAAACGCTACTAATAAACATGTAATGTTTTCATCCAATCAAAGAATTTTCTACAAATATACATAAATAGTTTGATCAAAAATAAACAGTCATTACAACACGATATAAGTAGTCGCCAAATAAATTGGAGGTGAGGCTTGTTTTGCTAGAAAGGTAAGGTAACCTCCAGATTCAAAAACTATAAAACATAGCTTTAATTAACTTTTAACCGGAAGATTTACATATAGCGCATATGAGTGCAAAATTTACTCAAGGAAGCTGTTCTTAAAAATCTTACCTCTTATGCTCACAAAGAAATAAATAGACTTTAGAATGAATTCGCTTATCGAAGCATAAAGGACTAAATAAATGTCACGACGATAAGTAAAAACGATAAGGAAGAGCAGGCATAAACGGCGTTATAAATTCAAATGCACATGATCAGACTCAGGACCCTTGTTGCTTTATCGAGTTTATTTTGTGATTCTCTTTTTTTCCTGACTCTTAGCTCAAGATAAGAATGAAAGAAATCAGAAAATAGCCTAATGGCTATCTTCAATTTATAAGTAAGTTTTCGAGAAAAGCAATGACGTCGATTGCTATAGCAAATATAAGTTTGATTCATCGACAATCCCAGCATAGAATGAAATATGGAAAATGCCTGACATTCCTTGAAATTCACATCTGCCCTGTGACGTGTCGAGCTTACGCGCTGCCCTGTCATGGTTCGACTCCAGTTGGGGGTGTTGATAAGACCTGTGCGAGGTCGAAAATGCAGTCCATCCTGGATGAGAACAACTTTTGAGAAAGCAAAGCTATGTGAAATTCAATGGAAGCACGGGCTCTACTCTTATCATTAAGGGAAAATTTAACTACAACTACTTCATCACCTTAAACGAAATAGGGTAAATACAACTCAAATATCTTCGATTCATTTTTAGGCGGAATAGGCATTTGCTAAAAGTGCGATTATATAAAAGGCATAAGGAGATGTTTTATCCTTTGTCTTTGAATAGAAAAGCATTTTTTAGCTTTTTTATTTGCTACTTTTTAACTAGCAATTTCCTAGTAATAGGAACAGCAATTAGCACGAGAGAAATTTAATTAATATATGAAGTGAAATTAAGTATGGACCACTATAATGTTACTTAAT